AGTCAATGGCGACTGGACTTGGAGCTGAGCTAGCTGTGCCCTCCACAACTAAGACTGAAGGACAACAACTTGGCTGTTCCCCTTCTCCAATTCCCCAACACTGTTCCCCTATCCCAATTCCCCAATAAAATCTTTAGGGGAAAAAAAATATATAATCCCAACTTTAATAAAGTGTTTTATTCATCAAGAAAACACGCTTCCCATTGACAGCTTAGGTAATACAGCAAATAGTAAAAATCATCAATAATCCCAAAAGCCAAAGATAATCACTGTTAACACCACCTATGCCAATTATCCTTTCTTTATAAATAATTTAAGGTAAAGGAAATCAGACAAAAATATAACTTTTTCAATCATACTTCCTTCACGTAACATTTTACCAAGTCAACAAATGTCCTTCTGAATCATCATTGTAAGAAGGAAATAGTAATTTCAGGCTCTGACTATGCACCATGAGGCCTTTTTTCTTTTTTAACCAATCCCCTATTGTTGGACATTTAGGTTACCTCCAGTTTTTTACATCACAAACAATACTCTAGTGAACATTCCCAGCATACATCTAAGACTATTTTCTTAGGATAAATCCCTAGAAGTGGAGTTGCTGGGCCAAGGCATTGGCCAATTTTAAAAGCTTTTAATAAAATGGCCTCAACACTGGAAGACTTTGTTTTATTTTAAAAATTCTAGCCAGGCACACAAAGAAAACCCTTGGTTACTCGCCTTTCTTGGGATTTTTTTTAAATCCCCAAACCGAGCATTAAAGCTTCTCAGATGGAGTGAAGTTTTCTGATTGAGGTAATTCACTAATTTGTGAGAAGCCCAAAATGTAGGACACTGTCGGAGAGACGTAGAAGCAGTGCCCTGCCCTCTGAGAAGGCACACGGCTAAGACCCGTGATAAACCACTATCATCCGAGGCAGGAGGTGGTCAGCGGCGTGCATCCTGTAAGTCCACTCTAGGTGTGACCTGAAACCAAGCAGAACAGACGAGGGCAGCCGTGGAACATCCTGCAGACAGGGGCCCTTTCTGCTTAAGTGACCAGGGATGCTCTCTGAAGGGTGAGTGGGCTTCAAAACTGAACCTAACACTCCAGAGGCCAGAGACAAGGCAGGACACGATATGTTCAACGGACAGCAAATNCCAATGTCCAGCCAACGGGCCTGTCAGCATAGCCGAACCAGTACCAGAGCCCAACTTCTAACCCCCATTCCTTTCTCATGGTGCTTTTCCTCTTTCTCCTTTTATCCTTCCAACAGCCCTATAAGCAAGGCAGGATCTATCCCATTTTACAGATGAAGAAACTGAGGGCCAGGCAACTTAAATTACTTGCTCATTGCCAGTGATGGCTACTGGATCTGGACCCAGAACAGGCCTCGCCCCTGCTCCAAGCGTCTTCAACCAGCCACTGGTCAGAAACAGTGAAAAATCCAGTGAGACCAAAGTAAATATCAACTGAGTCATTGAACGCGTACCCACCTAATGACATTTTAAATAGCGCCTCCGTTTTCTCCAGAGCTTAGGAGTTTTTGAAACATGTTTGCACACATGTTTGATCACCACTAAGGGATAATATGTGATTGCCCTAAGGAACATTCTAAAGATGCCCAGCTATGGTCCAGAGGGCTGGCTGACCAAGGTCACCAAGGTCACATCCAATATCCTCCCACTACACATGATGCCTCCCTTGATGATACCTGTTTCTATAAAATAAAATGTTTAAATGTCAAGGCTACTTAAACATATATTTTGGTATTTTCTCAAACCAGGGATACTCTCATATAGTGCATAGTTTTCATCAATCACAAATGTGACTTTAGCACAGGGCCTTCCTCCAACCCTGGCCAACAGGAAGTCTCCACTGGCCTGATGGAGTCCCCAGCTCGTCAAGGCCCCAGCTGCAGCCAATGGGACCCCTTCTCTTGCTAATCAAATGTTCACGTGCACACTGATCGAATGCCACAAGTATGAAATGTGTCCTCAGTCAAAGAGAGCACCCTTTTTCCTGCTTCAGGCCTGACTAGAGGGGACCTAAAATAGTGGCTTCTGGCAGGGTCTGCTTTGATCTGTGTGCTTTACAAGGCAAGCCTACCAATTTGGGATTTCTTGGCTCTTCGTGACTAGCTGGAGTATATGGGCTTCTTGGGTCTTTAACTGGGTCAACCATTAACAATAGCTACTTACAGCTAACACACTGATTTCCACCCAGGGGGTGGAACCTCCTTGGCCAATATACCTAAGCATTGTCGAAAGCCATAAGGCAGCGGCCCAGAGTCATGTTTTAATGCCAAACAACCTGGCTCTCAAGGGACTGATCACAACAAGGCAAGTTCCGTTACACTCAAGAGAAAATAAGCATGTTGCAGATAACCACACGGGAAGCTTCAAAATAGCCCCACCTGACCTCCCACGAGCAGGGAACACATTTCAAAGTTCTTCCACTAAGTGATTTCATAAGACCTGCACAAGTCTTCAGGAAAGAGGCAGGAAAAAAAGGAAATGAAGCCCGGGGTGTACAAACGCACCTTGCTACACAGCTACCTGCAAGCACGGCGAGGACCTGGGACTCCTGGAAACTGCTCTTCCACCTTGGCTAGGCACTCACCCTAAACCGGGACACCCAAGCATCATATCATCATCATTAGGGACCAAAGAAAGGGTGGTCACCACTTTCCCAGGAGGTGAATTAGCTCTTTCTTTTTCCTTTATTCAACTATCTTCCAACTGTATTCATGCTAAGAAAGCCCTGCTGAACCAAAAAATAAAATCCTTTCACGTAAAGGATGAGAGTTGATATGTAAGGGCTTAGGTGCTTCCAACATACCAGGTCACCTTTCCCATCAGGAATTCAAAGCAGAGGGCCACCAGTTTCTAGTCCACAAGGGTGGTGACTTATTCCTAGTATGTGATTTGAATGGTCTTAACTGCAGCCATGATGCCCTCCAGCCATGCCGCCATCCTATATTCGCTGAGTTCCCAGATGCTCCCAAAAAGCCCACCAAGACCGCCCCCCTCCAATTCCACACATCCTAAATGCAACTGCCCCCACCCAGCAGAGCCCGTGCACTCAGATGAGGAGGGAGGGGAAGGGAGAGGAGGATGGAAGGAAGAGAAGCAGAGGAAAGCCATGGTCAGGGACACTCTTACTTTTCTGGCAGTGATTCGTAGTCCAGCAGCGGTAGTTGTACTCATTGTTGATGGTGGTCTTCTCACACAGTGGCTTCTCCTCCATGGTCCCCGGACACAGGTCCCCGCATTCTTTCGGGGGTTTGTTCCCCACAATGTAGTTGTTGGAGACGGCATCCAGGATCAGAGACCAGTCCACTGTGGACAGGTAACAGAGGTCGGCATTTTTCTCAATCCTGATGGCCCCCCGAGTAATGTTCCTCAGGTTGTAAAGCCCGATATCTTTGAGGTTAGTCATCTCAAAGATGACCAGGGCGTAGTTGTAGAAGAGTTTCCAGCCGCGGATGACTGTGAGGTTCGGGAAGAGGTCTCCGAGGCTCTCGAGGCCGGCCACACGGAACAGCAGCAGGTACTCGGTGATGACCGTGAGCTTGGGGAAGCGGTAGCTGCGGTAGTCCTCTGCCTTGGAGATGAGCAGGATGTGCAGGTAACCCTCGATCACCGTGCAGTTCTCCAGGCGCTTCAGCTGCTGGTAGTCGTTGCGAATGTCAATGCCAGGCCCGCAGACTGGAGGGACACAAGAGGGCAAGGGCAGGACACATGTGAGTTAAAAAGAAGCCATTTTTAAAACAATTTTCCAACCTACAATATGGTCAGTTTTCAGGAAATCTACATTATGATTAAAAAAACAAGACTCAATTCTTCACGGCAGGCTACCATGAGGTGTGGGCTCCAGGTTGACTCTCTGGGGAGCTAACCAGTCAGCAGTCATTCAGGAAGTGCCTACTCTGGGCAAGACACTGTGCAACACTCTCACCAACCATGGGAGATGCCATCCCCAACCTATTAACATGCAAACCACAGCTTAGCATTCAGGGTGGCACAGGAGCACATGCAAGAGTCTGGGTGCAACCCAGGCCAGCGGGACTCCACAGTGCCCATCCCTTCTGCACGGCGCCAGCTCCCAAAGGCTGAAGAAAAGCTCAACAGCCAAGGAGCAACAACTTAGTACAGCATCCCGCCCCAAGGACATCAAGTAGTAAAGTCTGCACTGGAGACCACTTTTCCGTGACTCGGAAACTAGGGACCCAAAGAAGCATGTGCCCATGTTTCCTGCTACCATTTGACCTGTGCCAGATGGCCTTGTGTTCTCCCCAATACTGCATGAATGTAGATATAAAGGCTAACTTAACAGAAAAAGAACATGTGACTTGCCTGAATAAAAGAGATATATAGCTCCTTCGTGTCCCCGCCCCATCACGTCCCGCCCTCACGCTCTCGCGGATGCTCCAGGCCGAGCTGCGTGTGTCAGTTATTCCGGCCAATCACACGTCTTTTCCGCCTCCCGCGCGGCCCCACCCTGGAACTGGAGCTTTCGCGCCCTCCAGGTAAACCAAGGTTTCATTTTCAAGATGGAAAGCCCTTCAGACTCAGACTAGCACTCCACAGGCCGGTGCCAATCCACCATCTCCCTATAGAAGTAGTTCAAGAAAACAACCTATGAGTGCAACACTTAGAGAAAGGTTAAGAAAAACTAGATCTTCATTTAATTCCTGTTACAGTATGGTAAAACGTCTTAAAGTAGAGAATGAAGAAAACAATCTGAGCTTTTCAGAGAAACCAGCATCTTCAACAGAAGAAAGCTGTTTGGAATTTCAAGAAAATTTCAAACACATTGACAGTGAATTTAGAGAAAGTACATATTTGAAAAATACCTTCAAGAATATCAGTGCATGTGAATCTACTGGGTCTTGCAGTGATCTCCAGAATGACTTTGTGAATGAGAATCTTCCCAAACAAGGATTAAACAAAGAAAAATCAAAATTGGTGAAGCAGATTCAAGAGAAAGAAGACCTTCTTCGGAGGCTAAAACTAGTCAAAATGTATAGATCAAAGAATGACCTGTCGCAGTTACAGTTGTTAATAAAGAAGTGGAGAAGCTGTAGCCAGCTGTTGCTTTATGAGTTACAGTCAGCCATGTCCGAGGAGAACAAAAAACTCAGCCTTACTCAGTTGATAGACCACTATGGATTAGATGATAAATTGCTACATTATAACAGAAGTGAAGAAGAATTTATAGGTGTTTAATTTATATTTTTTCCTCCAGAATATCTTTGAGAATGACAGCTTAAAAGATACTACATTTTAAAGTGAAGATATAAACCATTAGGGGTTACAGAAAGGTATCTTGATGAACATCAATTTAGGTTACTCTGTTATATAAATGTAAACTAACTTCTAAAATGAAAACTTTTTATTTTGGATAAATTTGCCAAAGAAAATTTTACATTTAAAAACTGTGGTTGGAGGGCCGGCTGAGTGGCTCAGTTGGTTAAGAGCTCGCTCAAGAGTTTGAGCTCTGAGCAACAGTGGTTCCAGTCAGCCCGAGCTGAGCAGCCGCTGAGCTGCCAACAGGTAGCAGGATGGCTCAGCTAAAAAAAAAACAACAACAAAAAACTGTGAAAAAAAATTTAAAT